TCTTGGGTATAGGTATAAATGTCAATCTAAGCCAGTCTTCTGGGAAGATTCCAGTGATATATATTTTGTTAAATAATATTGTTAAAGTCTATAGATTTTCTTCATTGATAAGCTTTATCATCTCTACGTATATTTCATCCTGAGGCTTTTCATGGCTTTGCCGTATTGATTGTTTTTGTAACTTCCGATGTTAATATATCAAGTATTGTTTCTTGTACTATATTCATTTATGGTTCTGTTCTATCGTCATCAAACAGATCTTCGATGTATTTTCCCACATATCTCCCACATTTTCTGGACTAGATACTACTTCGTTGTTATCATCTACTAAAGTTGTTGCAGTGATTTTTTTTCATATTTGTGACTTCTTTAATCTTTTTGTATGCATTAAAGTAGTCATGCTTTTTTAGTAAATCTCCCAGTTCGTCACACTTGCTGCTCATCCATTCTTCTTTGGCTTTCCTAATTTTGTTTCGGATGATTCTCTGGGTTTCCTTATATTTTTCTTCATTGCGATTTTTGTAAGATCTCCTTATGTCCATCAGTTCTAGGACTTCTTCTGTCATCCATGTATTCTTTGTTTTTCTGATGTTGTCTAGTAGTTGTTCTCTTTGTATAGTTGTGATTGTTGTTTTGAAGGTGTGCCAAATACTTTCTATTCTTTCTTCTGCTTCCGCGGGTGCTTTCTTTCTTCTTACGGTGCCTTATCCTTAAGAACGTTGGCCATTACATTTGCCCATTTAATTTTATTTGTAGCAGCCCTAAATAGTTGCGTCCATTGCCGTAGGTTTTTAAGCCAAGAGTTGCGTCTTCTTCCTGGTCCTCTTTTGCTATTGACTTTGCCTTCGATTATAAGTTGGAGCAGTTCATACTTTTGATTTCTTATGATGTGACCAAAATATTGTGTTTTCCGTTCTTTTATTATAAACATAAGCTCTCTTTCCTTATTCATCCTCCGCAAGACTTCCGCATTTGTCGTATGGCTCATGTATAATATTCTGAGCATTTTACGGTAACACCAGAGTTCGAATGCTTAGATTCTTTTTTGTGTTACTTCTGCGGGTGCTTACTGAACTTTTCTTTGCGTGTATCATTGAGTGTTTTCTCTATTTCTGCCTGTACTATTGGATCTTTTTTTTCTAGGCTGGTTTTATATTCTCTCTGTATTTGATTTTCTTTAGTTTGATTGAATTTTTACCAACAACAGGATTGTGGTCGGAACCGATGTCTGTCCCATAAAACGTCACATAGAACAATTAGCTTGTAATCAAGAACTGAGGGGAAACTATTCACTCAAATAATTATAAAGACACTGTTGTAGCTATCTTATAACTGAGCTACGGAGTTTTATAAACGTTGTTGACAGTACTACCGTTTAGCGTTCTGAGGGGAATGCAACTCCAGATTTACGGGGTTAATTTAAAACCGGTAATGTGCCATTTTACCCAAGTATGTCGTTTTAGGTTAGCCTCTCCTACCCTGTGCGACTAAAGGGATACACCTCACCACAGAGAAAGTTTCTTGCTTTACAATTTATCCTTACAAACATATGCTCAACAGTAGATTTCTTAACATCGGTCTATAGGTACTCACTGGAGCTGATTCTTAACAGCAATAAGACACCGCCTTGTCGTGAACATTTAAAATGACATCCGAGACAAGAAGTCCGAGTTCAGTCTAACATAAGATGTAAACCACGTTTCAATTAAAATAATATCATAATATATGCACATTGGGCTACAGAATGCTATCAAAAGCAGGGTTCAAAAGTCATTTTGCTCGAAGTATTCTTTTGGAAACTACACTAGGCACCAATTTTAATTTCAAGTTCAGTCAGCTATTTATAATTTTTCAAACATTGTTTTCAGAGCCAATTTTATAAAAAGTTATAGCTCCTCATGAACCTGATCAGCTAATTTTGTGCAGACTTGAATCACATCAAAGAACAACAAAATTGATTTATATTAAATACAGTTTTATGTTTTAGGTTCGATAGAAATCCCCGACACAGACGATTCCAACATAACAAAAATAGGGACTAATATTGACAGTTCTATTAACTCAGAAGTTGTAGTAATAGATGATGATGGCGATGAAATTGGAGTTGTCGTTAAAGCACTAAATGCAACAACAGAAGATAAAATTGAAGATAACACGCAGCACCATATAAATTCCAACGAAAAAGTTACTGATGGTCAAATTAGCAGTGGTAATAATCTTTCAATAACTAAACTACAAAGTGATAATAATCTTTCACCAACTAAATTACCAATTCCTAATCCTGTTCCAATATCTCAAATATCCCCCGATGCAACTAACCTAGCAGAAATGACTGTTTCAGTAGAAAGTGTAACACGTGTTGCAATAACGAAGATACCAACAGAGGAAATAGGCTCAAGTATTAAAATCCCACCAGCAACTCAAGTACAGAAAAGAATTACCAACGTTAAGGATTTACGATTAAAAATACCACTACCCAATGATACACAGTCCAATGGTGTCTATTTGCGTGAAAAAGCCTTACAACATAATTTACCAGTGGGCTACGATAATACGCCTGTGGGTTTGAAAGATGTGGAAGGACTATTTCGGGAAAACAAAGTAAGCCTCTTTGGTGTAGGTAAACCTGAAGAGTTTTATTCCACTTCACACAAAAACCACGTTTACACCCCATCCGGAATGCTCTTACGTAAAGAAAATCCTTTCAAAGAACGAACGAGTGTGCGTCGTTTAGGTAATAAAACCTTTTTTTATGAGATACAGGTAAACTTTGAATCGCCGAACCCTTACAACTCCGAGATTTTTTCAGGGCACACCTCATCCGAAAGTGATTCGCCATCGGTAGTTAAGAATTCCATTGGTTTGCTATCTCCTTTAGTCTCTACTCCCAGAAATCGCTCAGGGTACGCCTCATCCGAAAGTGATTCGCCGTCGGTTGTTAAGAATTCCATTGGCTTGCTATCTCCTTTAGACCCTAGTCCCAGAATTAATTCAATGGAGAAGTGGAAAACGTGGATGACAGAAGAAAAGAATCAGGATTTCCTAAAGGAGCTAGATTTTGTCAAAAATCAATCAGTGGAGACCATAAGCAATGCAGGAAGCGACTATTCTCCTCCTATTTCACATTTCGAAACTGACTCTTTCTTAAGAATACACAGAACGTGGTACAGGGTTAAGAAGAATGTAGTACAATCCATCCCGAAGGGTAAACTATCTTATGATCGAGAAAGTCACTGGTTGCGACGATATTTCGATGACAAACAGTTGGAACAGTTTCTTGAAAATGCTGACATCAACTCCGTAGTAGCATCTGATTACTTAAAACACGTGAGGAACCGCGAGGGTGCTTTTCTAACGGAAAAAATTTATCTTACACCTTTTGAATTTCCTGAAAACAACGAAATTATACAACTCCCCAGAGAAATCACTTTTTGTCCTGAAGAAGTGGAGCTCAAAACGCCAGAGATGTACGTTGAAGAAATGGAAAAAGTTAAAAAAGTAGTACCTACAGAATTCCATATGTTTTATAGGTATGTCACTGGATACCAGATCCTTCAAGATCACAGCCCTATCTCGTTTTTAAATTTTTTAACTATGCACAATACTGGGGGGATACAGCAACTTTTCGAAAACTTTTTGAAGTCTCTATTAGGTCTGTGATTATTATGTATTGTATGTATATTTGAATTAATCTTAAAATTTTAATCACATTATGCTCTGCAGTTATGAGAGGCAAGCTATGAATTATCTTTGCCTACTAAATTACTGTCGTTTCATATTCTTAATCTTACTCTATATCTAATTTTTAAAAAATGCCTTTTCAATAAACTGCTACAAAAATATGATTATTAAATATTAAAGTTTTCATCATATAATTACAAATTAAAATTCAATTATTGGAATGATTTAGGCTTCTACAAAACTTAATATAATAGACATATTTGAAATAGACATATTTTATAAGAAAGTTTTTTTAAAGAAAAGTGCATGAACTCTTTAGAAAACCGAATGTAGTTCCGATATTCACTTCTCTTAATTTTTGCAATGATCTAATGTCGCATTAACAACGCTGATAAAATTAATGAAATTTTCCATTTGTAAACCTAAATTATTACTGAGTAAATAACTTTGATTACCAATTTTTTTGAAAGCTAAGATCATCGCTAGTAATTGTTTTTATTTTTATCATATTTATTACTTTGGTGGTGTGTGAAATGCTCTATGAACTTTGAATGTATTTGGAAATTATTATTTTGGTATCCACAGAATAGAATATGGACTTATATATAAAAACAAAAATTAAACAACAAAATAAGACCATAAATTTGATAAAGTCTTCATCACGTGATCGAATCCTAATACTAATTAAATTATATGTTGGTTCTGGAGATATTTTCTTGTAGCATATTAATAAAATTTACTATTTTTACTGACAATTAACCACAATTTTAGTTTAAAATAAGTTTATTTTGATGTTTCGATTTCTACTTTGGACAGTTCATTCGATTTTATGAAATCAACTTAACTTAAGAATCATCGTTACCTTTGGCTCGACAATCCTCTGTGCATCGTGGCCTGCTCTAAGATTCGTCCCTATTCTTTTCGATTTCTGATGATGTGTTGACATCTTCTGATTTAGAGTATTCCTAAGTCGGTCTCAACTCTAATCAGAACATCTAATTCGCGCTCGGTCTGTACTTCTTCTTCATATATATGTTCCTGTAGTTAGCTTTTTAGTAGTCGTATTGTCTGGCATTTGTATTGTGTGTCCAGCCCATCTTAGTTGTTGTCTTTTAATGAACGTGACATCTCGTTCATTCCAGACTTGGTCTTCTTCTTCCTACTTTATAAATAGGCTTAATACCTGATTTACTTCGGTTTTGAGCCTCAATTGACGTTGTCTGACCATATTTTCCTCGATCGTTCCAATGATCTTCTTCCATTTGGCGATTTGTCTCTTGCTATTCGTACTATTCTATTTTCTGTCGTTCTTTCGATGTGTTGATTCCATTCCATTTTTCTTCTTTTGGTCCACGCGTTTATTTCCTCTATAACACATCTCGCTCGTATTTCCTCACGTCTTACTCTGTCTCTTACGAGTTTGTTTTGTTATTTTTCGTAAGACTTTTATTTCTGTTGTTTCCAGCAGTCTTTGTGTTTTCGCCCTATCTGCTCTTGTTTCCGCTGTGTACGTCATTATCGGTCTTATTGTTGATTTATATATTCTGGTTTTCGCTTCCGTTGTGAGGTATTTGTTTCTCCAGATTGTGTTGTTGAGACATCCTGCTGCTCTGTATGCCATGTTCACTTGTTTTTGTACTTCTCCTACACTTTTCCGTATCTTGACAGTTTTATTCCAAAGTATTCAGTTTCCTTCACGTGTTCTATTATTTTGTTATTTACGACTAGTTTACATCGTTTCGGATCCGCTGATATCACTATCGTTTTAGTTTTCTCTGTTGAGATCACCATGTTGTATATGAGCGCCGTATCTTCGAATTCTTTAATTAATCTTTGTAGGTCATCTTCATTTTCGGCTGTTATTATGGCGTCGTCGGCATAGCATATTATCCTTATTTCCTTTTCTCCCATTCTATATCCTCTTCTTTTTTTAACTTTCTTTATGATTTCATCCATTATCAGATTAAATATTAATGGGCTCAGCGAATCTCCTTGTCTAACGCCAGGTTCATTATTTCATATTTGATAGGTTGCGATAATTTTCCTTTACATCTTACCATAGCTATGTTATCTTTAATATATTCTCAATGGTTTTTACTAAATCCAGTGATGTTCCCTTTTCATATAATAAATGTATCGCGTCCCGAATTCTCATTCTATCACACGCTTTCTTCAAATCTATCAGACACATATATGCTGGTTTGTTGTATTCCAGCGACTTTTCTTTTATTTGTCTTATTACAAAAACTGCATTCGTGCATGATCTTCCTGTCCGAAATCATTGCTGTTCCTCTTGTAAAGATATTCGTTCGTTTATTTTTGTCGCTATTATTCTTGTTGTCAATTTGAGTGTTGTATTTAAAAGATTTATTGCTCGATAATTATTGGGGTCTTTCTTATCTCCTTTTTTGAAGAACAGCACCATGATTGCTCTCCTCCATTCATCTGGTATTCCATTCGTGGTGATTATTTTATTAATAAGAAGTTGCAGTTATTGTACAAGCTAATCACCTCCATATTTTAAGATTTCATTTGGTATTTGATCTTCTCCTGGTGACTTTTTGTTTTACTCCAGACTTGGTGTAATTCAAAATTATATCATTTGCGTCACTGCCGTTGGTCGTTTATAGCTCAAAATATTTTGTGGATAATTTTAACTCTCGAATATTCCCAACGTATTTCATTCTTCTGCGCTAGAGTCCATGTTTCCGTCCCATATGTGAGCACCAGTCCAGCCTCAGCAGTGTTTTATATATACTAAATTTAGTTCTTCTTGGATATTTCTTGAGTGGAATTGTTTTTGGAATCCATAGTATGCCCTATTTGTAAGGTTTCTTGGTAGTAGTCACTAGCGAGCCACGGTATGTCAAGCTGTCGACACGTTCAAAGACATGATTTCCAAAGATTGTTTCCCGTTCCTCATTTGCTATAGGATCCTTAGTAGTAACCAACATGTACTTGGTTTTGTCTTCATTGATGACTAGACCGACCTGTATCGCGCCGTTTCCAATTCTAGGAAATATTGCTTAACGTCTCGCTTGCTACGCCCTGTTATGTCAATGTCATCAGCTTATGCTAAGATTTGTATCGATCTAGTGTAAATAGTACCTCCGTCTCTATTTCTGGACTGAGTCCATCCTTTACATCAAGGGTCCGAGAATTCTCTCCCTGCATCCTAACACTGGTTTTTAAGTTGGACATGGTCATTCTCGTTAATCAGATAAATTTTTGTGGTATACCAAACTCACGCATAGTAGTCTTAATCTTCTCCTTCTTCCTTCTTGTATGTAGGCTTTACAGTCTGTTTCTTCTTCAATAGTAGCCTCCTAAATTGTTGAAATTATCGCACCATCTTTTTCTTGGTCTGGCAATACTTCTTTGTCCATTTGGTGACTTATCTCGTGCTATTGGTACTATCCTATCCTCTGCCTTTCTACTAATGTGTTCGCTCCACTCCTGTTTCCGTTTTGTCGCCCATCTATTTATGTTTTCTATATTGCAAGCTCTTCTTATGATTTCGCTTCTAATAGTCTTAACGTTTCACCTAAAGAAAAATGTTCGCATTCACAAGCTATTTTATAAATACAATTTTTTGTTTTTGTTCGTTGTTAGGTATGGTTTTAGATCAAATAAATCTCAATTTAGTTTAAAATTTGCTTCGATTTCCGAAGTGAAAATGCCACAAGAAAGTAGCTTCAGAAGAATAAACAAACCGATATGGGCCTACCAGTGTTTAAAATATTTTGTTTTAATTAAAAACAAATGAATTTTGAAAACTGATTCTGTTTTGTATATTCATAAATTGTGGGTTATTTTCCACCAACAATATTTTATACAATATAAAAACTTTTACTACAGATAAAGACAAGTAGATTATAGATGAATAATGTTAGACTACAGTCAGAAGATAGAGATCATCAGTATCTGTATAAACTTTTTATTACATTGACCCATTTTGGTAGGGTGTAGAAATATATGTGTAGTTTATTGATTATTTGATACTTTGATATAAAAATGTACAGTTAAAAGTTGTAAATTAACTTTCTTTATGTGTTTTGTTGTTGTTTTAGTTGAGTAGTGCTGTAAATATGTAAATTGATGTAAGAAGAATGGTTCATTCACAAGAGACTTACGTACGATATATGTAGTTTGTTAGTTATTTCATATTTTTTATAAGTATCCTTTAGACTTTTCAAAATTTAGCTAATTTTATTTATACCGATGATGGTATTTTATTGATATACTATGTATTGAGATACTTGTATTAAGATACTATGTGTCTATTGTAAATTATTTTTATAATGGCTACCCCATGCTAAAATAACAGATTCATTGGTATATTAATGTTTTCGTATTGCAGAAAGTATAGACTATTTCAGGAGTTCTTGACCTGTACGTTATGACATCAGATGAAATAAATGATTAAAACAAAGATTTCTTTGATTAATTGCCGATTATAAAAGACTAATAATTTTTTAAAAATTGTTCAAAATTTTTAATTTTACATTTACGAATAATTTAGGTTTTGGTAACATATTTTACTTTTACTTGATTTAGAGTAGGTAATTTGCATATACATATTTATGAGTCACTAGATCTAGATCTACATTATTAATTCAAATTTCTTACTTAATAAGTAAACAATTGGAATATACTGGTCTGGGTGGTTTTTAATTATTTCTCCAGATTTTATCCCGGTATATTTTCGCCCTACTTCCTGGCGTTTCATTCGCCTTCTTTATGCTTCTACCTTTGTCTCCATTTCTATCTATATATTTAATGGCGGGAGGTCAAGTATGACCTCCATGGAAGCGTTTATCTATGGAAGGGGTAGTCGACATCGCTCCTGTTACGATTAAGCATGTTTGTCGTTGGTGCTTGAGTTACATCTGTTTGGGTTTTCCATGGTTTCCCACATATCCTTTGACATGTTCAAAGGATAAGATTTGCTTTGTTGGTTATTCTTGGATTCTGGATCATCAAGATGTTATCTACGTTCCGTCTCGTTGTGAAGCTGATGAATACTACTGTTTTACTAGGATTAACAGAGAGTTTTTTACTGTTGCACCCCCTAGTGAAGATACTTATTCATTGTAGTGTGTTGGATAGCACATTACAGTATTTTTCTCTTACCATAATTACTAGATCATCCACGTAGGCCTGCACTTCTACCTGCTGTAAGTCAAGGAACCAGGAGTAATCGACCAGGAGTAAGTAGGACACAGTAGGGTAGAAATACCTCCCCCAGTGGGCATCTTTTAATTGTTTTGGCCAAAGCCTCTTCCTGCATATGTGTTAGAATCAGACTATTTTCCAATATAACTTTGATCTAGTTGCCGGTGATCCTGCATCCGTAGCGGATGTCACTTTTGATGATGCTGATGATAAAGAAAATTTGGGAGTGCGTTATTAAATGCGCTTTCTATATCTAGAAAGGCGGTTGATGCAATATCTCCATTATTAATGGTGTGACTGATTTTCTGAACTAATTATTCCAGTGCTGATTCTGTTGATTTTCCAGCTTGATATGCATACTGGTTGCTATTGAGAGGGTGATCACTCAATTAATCAATCAATCAATATTTTTTTCTATTGCCTTCAACAGAAATTAGATTGATCGGATAAGACTGATCGGAATGTAAAATTTAGGTAATAAGACTTTGTCCTTTCGTCCCATTTTGTGTATGTGCTCCACCTTTACAGTTATTTAGTCTACGTTACGATCCAAAAGGATAGATGACACTTTTCGTAAATCATCCTAATATCCAATATGGAGATTATAGTATCATTTAGCTATGGACATGTTAATTTAATTACATTTTATTGGTAGATTAGGAGAAAGTCGTAATATTGATATTCTTTTGTCAGTTTTGAACAGTTTGTCTGCAAAACATTAAAAAGTTTAAAGATTTTTCTGATTTGTTCACGTTTGATTGAAACATGTTCTCTTTTAAATTTTATTCCATAAATATCCAACAGACTGTATTTTGTATTTATCGCATCTGACCCGGTGTTATGGTCGATAAGTCAACCTTACTTTCCCTTTTTATGTGTGTCGTTATGCTTAAACGTTCTTACATCCATTAGTGGTTACTTAAGCAATAAAGAACAATAAATTATTTAAATTTTTATACAGCTTATAACTAATCAAAAACCAGATTAGAGTTGGAGAGTTCTAGTGATGACGTTCACGAATATTTAAGGATCAAGTCAAGAACACTAGCAATACAAAACTCGAAAACTAATACGAAGCATCGAGGTAACACAAATCAAACAGGTCAATACATACCAAGCTTTGTACAGCCAAAGATGATGATAATAAATCATACAGTTCATCCGTGATATTTAACGTTTAAAACTGACGTTATGGGAAACAGAACAGTGAAAAGTATATCTGGCACCTTTACTAAGGTGTAGAACATGGTAATCTGAAGGTAATCCTCTAGTATTTTGAGTCATCTTCTTTGAACAGTATGAGGCAGTTATTTTCTGCCTACCAAAATATTTTAGAAATTTCACATCAGTCTTGGATATTACCAAGCCACGAATGTTTTCTAGATGTCCGCTTAACCTCTATTTGCTTATAACCTTGCTTTTGGCATGGAATCGTAAAACGTGTATCTCAAATACGATAATTTTCTTTGTTTTAAGATATTTAAAGCAGGCTCTTTGCTGCTGCCATTCTCAATATTTATCCGTTGGAAACTGGTACTTTTTTGAGTATGTTAAACGTTGTTTTAGCTATGTCAGTGGATATCAATTTTCTCTATCTAAAATATATCTCAATCTGTAATATATCTCGTTGTTATATATATTTAGGTTGCTACAAGGCGTACACCACAATTTTAGTTTGCTTTGTTTATATTAATCTATAATGTTGTCTTAGATCGTGTCCCTTATATGTACAACAAATATTGTAGGTATTCTACAATCCTCTACAGGAGTTCATAAGCGATAGATTATCCATAGGTTTATTTTAATATCTTTTGTTGTATTTTTTAACGATATTTTATTTTAAATAGTTTTTCAACCGCTAGAACAGTATCGGTGGCAGGATACACTCAGGTCTTATTAATTTTCAACTTGCCTTTTGATTCCATCATAAATTTAAGATGATTTCTATGTTGTTTCCATCTATCTTGATCTCTCGCAGTTTTGCATGACGTAAGTCTTGCTTTACATTATCGAACGGAGTCGAAGAATATATTAAACATCCTCCTATCCTTTAATAATACCGAATTGTGTCACCTCTTATCTTTTAGTTATTTTGCCATGAATATGCGAAGAGCTGCCATTAGATTGTAGAGTGCTACAGGTCAGATTAGGAAATCTGAAATAAACTGTATTTGATGCATGTGACTATTTACTTTTTGGAATAAAAATATCTAAAAAAGTTTTATTTTAAACAGTAAAGGCTATTCGAGAGTTTATCACTAATTTAAGTTAATTTCATATTATACATTGGTTTTCGTTGGATATATGTCACGAATAACAATATTTTTTCATTAATGCAGCAATTATTTGCAAAATAATTGCTAAATAATAGCAAAAGCTGAAAAGTTGTTTAAAGCTGGGTTACCATTATTATTATTTGGCTGTGAGTATTTAAGTAGAGTAAATAAATCTAGGAAGTATGTAGAAATCAAAAATAATGATGAGTTACTTATTTTATTTTGATCAAATTTAATACTACTAACTGATACCTTGACCATTTAACTTCAAACATTTCAAAACTAACAGGGAAGGTCCACAACTACAAAACGCTGGATACA